AATAATGCAAAGAATGGTTCTTGAATTTATTTTGGTTTGTGCACTAAATTAAATTTATTTAAGTTGGATTTGATTTATTTTAATTTTATCTCAAAATTGGTTCTAAAATTAATTTAGAATTAATCTTATTATCACACATAATTCAGGATTAAAATCCCGAGCTAAGAGCACGCAAATCGAGGTAAAGGCTGCCCAAGCACACCCTTCGGCTAGCTGTGCTGCTCACGCAGTCCAGATGTGGCTGCCAAGGTGCGTGTGTGGGCTGCTCATGCCTCGAGCTAGGTGCATGCTTGGTGCTGCGACATGGTGTGTATGTGTGAGCTTCGTGCACGCTTGGTGCAAGCTCGGTGCATTGCGATGTGGGTGCGTGGACTTTTGCAGTGTGCAGCCTTGGGCAGCACAACCCAGCACACTCTAGGGCCTTTGAAGCCATGTCTTGCTTGCACGCAAGCACGCTGATGTGGCCAGCATAACGCGAGAGCGATGCTGTCAGCCACTCCCACGTGCTTGGCGCAACAAGGGGTGTGCGAGGGCAGCAGCCAGGCATAGCAGCCATGCTTTGGTGCCTAGCACAACGAGCCTCGGGGCTTGGTGCTAGGCACTTGGGCATCGTTGGGCTATGTGTTTTGCGATTTTTTGCCGTTTTAATTATTTTATTATTTTAATGAAGCTAGGCCTCGGTTTTATCGGTACTTGCAAAGTAATTTGGCAAAATTTAGGTTAACCGACTTGATTAATTGGATTAATTAAGTTGGATGCGGAATTTAGTGGGAGCTTCGTTAATTACTTAAGCGAATTTTATTGCGTTTAATCACATAATTGGTTAACAACTTTGACTAGTTTTAATTAGGCGCGTTAATTGAATTAACCACCTAAGTTAGTTACTAGTTTAAGCGTGTTATACATTGTTACTTGTTTTTCGTTGTAAAATGCATGGGCCATTCACATATAGTGAATGGAATGTATATTCTATCACAAGTTTTGTGAAAATGACAACTAGTGGGGCCCGATTAGGATAGTAAATACGGGCTACACTCTGTTATGTATTTTTGTAAATCAAAATACGGTCTGCGTACCGTTGCGTATTTTTGTACCTTAATATTTAGATTAGTCCTAGTCATAATAACTAGTAGTTGCATATTTGGTGGAGATGTCTCGAAGACGGCGTTTCTAAGAAGACAAGCCAAGCCAAGAGGATGCATCGCAGACCCTTGAAAACTCGAAGATTCAAGGGGTCATGCTAGTTGCCAAATACATCTTTTACTTGTGTTTTCTATATATAATTATGCTTATGTATATGAATGATATATTAGATGCATGTTTAGGATGTCGAATGTTGCGATGATTAATTAAGTTCACTTAAATCATTCAACATAGAAACCCTAGGTCCCTATAATATTGAGCCAAATTTGCCATTCCAAGAAGAACACTTACCAAACTAATGCGCGTAGTGATTGGCTACGCCAAAGCGAGACATCACTACTTCCCTAGGAACGTAAGATATACTAAGTATACAAGTTGGTCTTGGTTAAGCTCAACGATATCAGTATAGAGTCCTTAGATTCGTGGCAATGGAGATAAAACGTCAAGGAAGCATTAGATGCGACGTTTTATCGAACCAAGAGTAGCTTAGAGTTATTAGCAATTGGATTGCTTACCTTAAAATAGTAAGTGTTAAGACAAGCCAAAGCATGCTTAATCACTTTTTGATTTTTGGGATCTTGGAATCGTTTTATTATAGCATAAAAGGAACAAATATTAATGCGTGGACAAAACGCTCAATAAGATTGAATATTTGCGTGTATGCTTTAAATTTCAAACTTATTGGTTTTATGAATGGTTTTTCACTTCAAATTCTTTCAATTGTAGAAACATGTCTGCAAATAACTTAAACAACCAATTTTCATTACCCTTAAATCTCGACAAGGAGAAGTCAAGTGGGCCAAATTTTCTTTATTGGCAAAGGAACTTGCGTATAGTTCTCATGCAAGAGCAAAAGGAATACGTCCTTGATGAAGAAATGTCCGATGCTCCTAATGAGGAGATCACTCAGATTGCCCTTAATCGATGGAAAATTGCCAATCGGGATGTCAAGTGCATCATGTTGGCCACGATGTCTCCGGACCTCCAAAAGCCTTTCTTTGAAAAGGAGACGGCTTTTGAGATCATTTCTGAACTTCAAAACATGTTCCAAGAGTAGGCCCAAATTGAAAGGTTCGAAAACCCCAGAGCAAGCTCAAGAAAGGAGAGCCAGTCAGCCCACATGTACTTAAAATGATCGGATTATTTAAGAACATGAAAAGGCTTGACGCTCGGTATTCAACCGAAATGGCAATTGACATCATTCTCCATTTGCTGCATAAAAGCTATGATTAGTTCAAGATGAACTATAATATGCACAGTATGGAGAAAACCCTCAACGAGCTTCATGGAATGTTGAAGCATGCCGAGCAAATGCTCAAAGATTAGGGGAAGCATGACATGCTCATGATAAAAAAGGGCAAGCCATTCAAGCGTTCAGGCAAGAAGAAAGGCTTTAAAAGGAAAAGGAAGAAGACTTTACCGCCTAAGTCAAGCGCTACCAAGAGCGGCAAGGACAAGAAGGTAGCCTATTCTAAATCCGATTCCGAATGTTTCCACTGCAAGAAGAAGGGACATTGGAAGCGGGATTGCCTCAAATTCAAGGAAGATAAGAAGAATGACATTGTTGCTTTTGTATAAGGTATTTTTGTTATAGACTTAAACTTCGCTAGCAAAACATCATGGGTATTAGATACCGGATGTGGCTCACACCTTTGTTCCAATGATCAGGGACTGATGATAAATAGGAGGCTAGAGAAGGGTGAGGATGAGCTCTGGGTCGGCAATGGAGCCAGGATGTTAGCCGTATCCGTTAGAACTCTCAGCTTGTCTTTGCCCTCTAGGCTTGTTTTAGAACTTGACAATTGTTATCATGTGCCAAGAGTTACCAAAAAATTATTTCAATTTCGGCGTTGGACGCCAAGGGATTTGAATTTCGATAAAAGACAATAGTTGTTCATTTTACTTCAATAATGTTTTATATAGTAAGGCATATTCAAAAAATGGTCTTTATGTGCTTTCTCTAGACAAACAAGTTTATAATATTGATGATATCGCCAAAAGAGCTAAGACTGTTGAGTCGAATCAAACCTACTTATGGCATTGTCTTCTTGGCCACATTAACATCAAACGCATCAAGAAACTTCTTCATGAAGGTATTCTTAACTCATTCGACTTAGAGTCGTTTGAAAATTGCGAAGGATGTTTATTAGGCAAGATGATAAAGCATCCATTCTCCAAGTTAGAAGAAAAGGCTAGTGACTTATTGGGTCTTATACATACGGATGTATGTGGACCAAAGAGTACACTCGCAAGCCATGGTTATCGATATTTCATTACCTTCACGGACAACTATAGTAGATATGTATATGTCTACCTTATGTCGAACAAATTTAAATCTTTTGAGAAATTCAAAGAGTTTCAGAGTGAAGTGGAAGCTTGGCAAGAAATTCAAAGTACTTCGATCAGATCGAGGTGGCGAATATTTAAGCCACGAATTCATGATCATCTGAAAGAGAATGGTATTCTCTCATAATTAACACCTCCCAGAACTCCACAATGGAACGAAGTGTCCGAGAGGAGGAATCGAACCTTGTTAGACATGGTCCGATCAATGATGGGTCTTAGTGATCTTCCTATCTTTTTCTGGGGACATGCACTTCTAACCGTGGCACTAACCTTAAACCGAGCTCCGTCAAAAGCTGTCGAAAAGACTCCATATGAATTATGGACGAAGAAACCTCTACGGTTGTCTTTTCTTAAGATTTGGGGTTACGAAGCATATGTCCAGAGATTAATTTCTGACAAACTTCTCCCAAAATCAGACAAGTGTTTCTTTGTGGGATACTCAAAAGAAACTAAGGGGTATTACTTCTATAACAAATCCGAGAACAAAGTGTTTGTTGCTCGCGATGGTGTCTTTTTGGAGAAGGAGCACCTTTCCAAAATGACAAGTGGGAGGAAAATCAAACTCGATGAAGTTCGAGAGGACGAGCAACAAAGTCAACATGACAAAACTGACAATCAAAGTGCTTTAAGAGCAGCTGTTGACATTGGTCAGAGTCAAATCGACAATGTGCAAAGTCAAACAGACAATAAAAAAGCTCAACCTATTACCCTGCATAGGTCACAACGGCCAAGATCTCAACCAGACGGATACCTCGATTTTGTTTTAATTGAAGATCAAGACATCCTAATTATGGATGGAGATGAGCCAGCGACGTACAAACAAGCTATGATGGCCCCGACTCTGCAAAATGGCAAGAGGTCATGAAATCCGAGATGAACTCCATGTTTGAAAATCAAGTCTGGGACTTGGTTGATTTGCCCGAAGGTTACACACCTATCGGTTGCAAATGGATTTTCAAGTTGAAAATCGACAAAGATGGAAATGTATCTATATACAAAGCTAGATTGGTGGCAAAAGGTTGCAGGAAAATTCATGGTGTTGATTATGATGAAACCTTCTCGCGCAGTCGCCATGCTTTACACTAGTAGAATAATATAAAAGGGCACCGGTTCAAAACTCCCATATAGCACCGGTTTTGAACCGGTGTAGATTTGAGGGATGCCAAAAAAAAAACTTTAGCATCGGTTCAAAATCGGTGCTTATACCGTGTATTCGCACCGGTTCTGTTCAAACCGGTGCGAATAATGGACCAAAAAAATAAAATAAAAAAAGGCACCGATCTTGTCCAAACTGGTGCGAATAATGGCCCAAAAAAAAAACTTTTAACACCGATTCGATTCAAAACCAGTGCCCTTAATGCCCCAAAAAAATAATATATATATATATATATATATATATATTTTTGCATTTTTTTTTCACTTAAATTGATATAGAAACACTAACATATATATAAAGTTACATATTTTCTTTAAAAAAGACTGTAATATTACAATTTTTTTCCAAAATAATAAAATAAAATAAAATATAAGGTCGCACACAAATAAAATAAAATTGAAAAAAAAAAATTGTAACAACATATCACAATAAACACTTGTAGCTGCGAGTCCACTGTGCTGAAACTCTTGGCACTCCCATTGTGGGTGATTACAAGTAAATTAATCATAACAGAGTCCAATTGATGGCACAATGCCGAAGTAGAACATTCTTTATCAAAAGAACCAAATATGAGGCACTATTAAAGTCAAATGCAGTAACAAGATGGATTTACAAAGATAATCCTGAACCTTAACACCTTTGCAAGAATTTTAGAGTGAATCAAGCACAGTGTATGCTCGTTTATGAATTAAAGTGGGAGGGGGGAGCATGAAGGACTAATTAGTAGCATATAAACATACAGAGTACAAATATTCGACAGCCCTCTTAGGGTTGTTATAAGCAGCATGCAAAGCACGAACAACAGTAACCTTGTCCCAACTTCCTCCACCCATATCAAGAATTTGCTGAACGATGCTCTCCAAATTGCTTCCCATAACTAAATTAGATGCAACCTAGCCATAGACATTTGCGTTTCCTCAGCATACAAGTAATTAAGTTCGTATTTATTCATAAGTTCCGCAAAGTAGTGATTTTGATGGAAAACATTGCTTAGAAGATCTAAGAAACGGTTAAAACTCATGAAGCAGCAACTGCATCAGTCAAGGGACTCACGGCAGCTGCAACAACATGTTCTGTAGCTGTCTGCGTCCTAACATAACAAAATAGTATTTATAAGCACAGTAACAAAGATCATGTATCATACAAGCCTAGAAACTTTCAGTGTTGAATATTAATAATAATAATTGGTACACCAAAGTAGGAAGATTAAAAAGAAAATACTTCAAGAATTTACTGAGCTTGAGGTGCAATTAGTGCTGGCACAATAGCTGTAGGCGTAGAGGTTGTGCTCTAAGGCTGAGCCTACAAATGTGATCCACTTGTTATACCATAGGACAAACATGAACTATAAAAAGTAAAAAGTTAAAAATTCACCCATTTGTATATAAAGTAGTGAATTCTCTGACAAATTTGATTGCATGCTCCTTAACCTCAAATAGTCCATCCATGCGTAGCCTTATGTCTTGGCATCCAGTCGCTATTGAGGTAATACTTTCATTGCAGAATGCTTTCAGGCTATCAAGTCCAATAATGTAAGAAATTATACGACTATTAATGTCTGGATATGATTCTTCCATCCAAGATCTAACCTAAACGCATATGAAACATTGAAACCCACAAAGCCCGATTGTCAAAAATGATAAACTTGCAGCAGTATTTCAGTTATGTCTCAGAATGTACTCCTACATTGTAATGCAAGTACGATTGAAAATTAAAAAAGAATCAGAGAGCAGCATATTTACCAGATACTCAGCTGCTCTTGCACGTTTTTTTTTCCAACTTCTATCAAAGGCTTGTATCCTTGCATTGCATATTCCCAACCAAATTAGGCCAACAAATCCAGAAAAGCAATAATCAAATCCATTACTCAATACTGTCTCACTCTATCCTTGCACTCCACTTTTAAAATGAAACAAGCGTGAGCTAGTATACTACAAGTATGTTGGTAATTAGTACTGAAACAAGTCTCTAAATTAAACTTCATCCAAATCCAGAGAGTTAACAATCCAGTTCAAATAATACCTCACTTCAATCTAGCATTCAAAACCAATAAATCAAAAATATTCTTCTCACCAACATTCTCATCGTTATTCATTTCAACTACAATATTCTACCGACACATATCATATCCACAACACATCAATATTTCTATTAAACTGGAGGAATGTTCTCAAATATCCAAAATAATATCTAAATATTCGTATTAAAACAGCAAAAATATACTCAAATATGCAAAATACATCCAAACTCCTGTTATATTGCAAGAAACTTAATATACATCCAAATACTCCTATAAAACTGCAGGAATTTTCTTAATTATTCAAAATACATCCAATATATGCATATTCAAGTATCAAATCTCAGTCATTCCACCAATATATTATGTTTAGTAACTTTAGTAACTAAAACAAACAACATTAAGCATTCATTTAGCGATTGTTAGCTCGAATCTTAGTTATTCTTCCATATCTCAGTATATAGAGCAGCAAAATCAGAGAAAAAAAAATACAAAATAACAAATACAAATTGAATTAAATCTTTTAGGTCAAAATAAATTCAAACAGATCTCCGCAAAATTGAACATCTAAACCCTATAAAACGGCACAAAACAAAAATAAAATAAAATAAAGAAAACTAAAATAAAACACACAAACCGGATGAGCAGCTTTGTAAGAATTCATAGTATCTTCAGCAGAAGTTTCCTTCCATCACAAGATTTACAGTCAGCCATATAACAATGATATAATCTCCCTTCATCTTCAAGTAGAAGACTCTTGATTCACTAACAGAAACACTAGGAGTGAGATGAGAATTGAGAAGCTTCAGAATACAAGCACAGATATCAGAAAGCTCAAACTTAACGTGCTTTCCATGTAGTACTCATTTAGGACTACGACACAATTCTGACAAGGGATGAAGTCCCATAACTACCTAAATGGGAGTTTATAATATCTACGAGTGCCCAAGCACTCAAAAACATAAGCTGAATGAGCTTACCCTCAGTTCATCACAAGACCATAATTTCCACCTAGACCACCAAATGCTTCTTTCCATGAATCTAGAAGTGCCAAAATTTTCTACCTTACATGCATGTCAGCCTGAAAAACCATTTTAAAAAATCCAAATGTTAGGTAAAATTAAGAAAAGTATTTTAAGAAGATAGAAATAGAGAACATTGCAATACTGCAGAATTTAAGGACCAAAATAAAAGAATTAATGCATTTCCTAATATGACACTTGTATAAATTACAATATTCGTGACAAAATCACGTGTCAATTACTATTATTTAAGTTTATTTAATACACTAGGCCATAAAATAAATGGAAAATTACAATAAAACCTTCTCGAACCATAGTATCAATTTCTACATTAATAAAATAACAATCCCAATCACCCAACTTAAACCCAGAAGAAATTAGATAAAAATTGAACAACCCACATAATTCAATTCAAATTAACAAGATTTTAAAACAAAATAGTTTAAGAATTTCATCGAATTTTGCTTTCTAGGTTTCGACTTCCAAGTAGTAGGACGCGGAATTTCAATTACATCAGGTGCTTTGAACGACGCACTATTGTTGCTACTACTCCCAGCAAACATTCTCTTCCTTCAAGACCCCAAATTAATTCAAAAAGAAAATGAAAAATTTAGAAAAAAGATTCAGAAGTTAAGGTAAATATTCAAAACTCAGAAATTTAAAAACAAAAGATGATTACTTGGATTTTCAAACAAACCCAGAAACCCTAACCTCGAATAGTATGACTACTTTACATGTTTTAATTGAAACTAACATACATATAATCTCAATCATAAATTAAATCCAAAAAAATCAAGGCATTTAACATGAATAATTGGACCAAAATGCAAAGCTAAAGAACCTAGAAACCCTAACCTCGAATTTGTGATTTTTGAATCGATAATTGATTCAAGTTTGTTGTTGTTGTTGTTGTTGTTGTTGTTGTTATATTTGGTTCAAATTGATGACGGCGGCGATGGTGGTTGTGCTTGGTTCTAATGACGTTGATTTTGGACTGAGAAGGAGAAGGAGAGCGGCATTGCTTGCGGCGCAGTTATGGAGAAAGAGATCGAAGGAGAGAGAAAAGGAAAGGGAAAGCGGCGGTTATGGAGAAGGAGATTGAAGGAGAGAGGAGTTTAAGGAAAGAGCCTCCATTGTTGTAGATGAGAGATAGGCAGATGAGAGAGGAGGATATATCGAGGAAAGTGAAAGAAAGAAGACATAAAGAGAAAGAAAGAAGATAAAAGATCGGTTTTTTTCTACATTAACATTCGCATTGGTTCGAACTGGTGCGATTAACTCATTTTCGCACTGGTTTGGTTTAAACCGATGCGATTACTCTTTCCCTCAACCCCGCTTGTTTTTTATTGCACTGGTTTTTAAGTTTGCATTTTGCGATGCTCATTTAAGTGTTTCTACTAGTGTAAGTCCGTCTCGATTATCCTAGCAATTGACGCATATTATGATTATGCAATATGGTAAATGGATGTCAAAATCGCCTTCCTTAATGGGATTTTTGAAGAAACTGTGTACATGACACAACCGGAAGGTTTTGTTGATCCAAGCAATGTTGGGAAAGTATGCAAGCCTAAGAAGTCCATTTATGGATCAAAGAAGGCAAGCAGAAGTTAAATCTACGATTCGATGAAGCCATTAGTAAGTTTGGTTTTATCAAGAATCTTGATCAGTCTTGTGTTTACAAGAAGGTCAGTGGGAGTCACATTGGATTCCTCATCTTATACGTTGATGAGATATTGCTCATTGGAAACAACATTCCAATGTTAGAATCCGTGAGGGAATGGCTTGAAAAGTGTTTTTCAATGAAGGACTTGGGAGAGGCACAATACATATTCGGCATCAAGATCTATCGGAATAGATCTAAAAGGATGATTGGATTGAGCCAAAGTACTTATATTGGTAAGGTGCTGGCACGATTCAACATGGAAGGGGCCCAAAGAGGGCATCTACCCATGTCACATGGCATAACTCTCAGCAAGAAGCAGTGTCCACAGACACCTGATGAGCGAGAGAGGATGAATCAAATTCCATATGCTTCGCTTATTGGATCGATCATGTATGCCATTATATGTACTAGGCCGGATGTATCGTATGCCTTAAGTGCTACGAGCCGATACTAATTAGATCCTAGAGAGGCGCATTGGACTGCGGCAAAGAATATCCTAAAGTACCTGAAAAGAAACAAGGATAAAATCTTGGTCTATGGTGGAAGTAATGATTTGGTTGTTGAAGATTATACCGATGCAAGCTTCCAGACTGACAGAGAAGACTCCAAGTCGTAGTCAGGTTACATATTCTTTCTAAATAGAGGAGCTTTTAGTTTGAAGAGTGCTAAGCAAAGCACTACTGTAGATTCTACAACTGAAGCCGAATACTTGGCAGCTTCAGAAGCAACTAAGGAGGCAGTTTGGATTCGTAAGTTCATTAGTGAACTTGATGTTGACCCTCTATCAAGGGTCCGATAGACCTCTATTGTGATAACAATGGAGCTATTGCTTAGGCTAGGGAGCCAAGGGAACATCAGAAGATCAAACATGTCAAGAGGCGATTTCACATGATAAGGGAATGGAAGTCCGAGGGTGAAATCAGATCGAATTTGTAAGATTGGAACGGACGACAATGTAGTCAATCCACTCACTAAACCTTTGCCTCAAGTGAAGCACAACAAGCACGTTGAGGCAATGGAAATCAAGCACGCTGGAGATTGGCTTTGATTTCCTTGTTCATGTGTTTTAATTAAATTTTGAGGTTTTAATGTAAAACACTATGTTAAACCATTCGTTTTTGGAGTAATTAAATTTTCCGCAAAATTATTATCACTCCATTTATATTTAATTGTGGTTTAAGATTAAATAATGAGTCCATTCGATTTATGAGAATATTCAAAACAGGGTGTCAAGACCATGTCTTGGATAAAGAAACACTTGTTAAGTGAACATTGAATATTTCTATTGAAAATTATCCCTAATCAAGGTCATTTAAATGATGGAAGATTAATGACCACTTGAGATTAGTGTGTAGTATGATTTATAGCACCGTTTCTTGTGCTACAAGGACATGATTGTCATAAATCATTTACACAGGTATTGGTTTGGAACTATACCAGATCGACCTATGAGAATAATTTAAGAGATTTAAAATCGTCATAAGTATATTTCTCATTATAGCTATCAGAACCTTTTTCCTCGATCATGACTATTGTAAGTTCTCTTGTTTGAGTACTAGTCCGTTATGATATTGTCAAACGTCTGCCGTAAATAGTGATTATAACGGCAACACTCGGGCGGCTAGGTCCTCTTAGTAAGGGAAGTTAACAATACAAGACTGGGAATGTCCCCCTATTAACAATAGGGAACATGTCTTTGTTGTTTACAAGGCCTCTCGAAGAGCGAGACTGTGAAAATGTATGGCCGTGCTCAGATGGATTTAAGAAATCATCTGCTTATTGATAGTCGAGCTCGGAAATCGAGAAAAACTTCTGGACGTAATAAGGATGACGAAGAATCTTACCTTATATTTCATGAAGAGACATTAAGTGACATAGGAAATGGGCTATACACTGACTGCACACTTGTCCGGAAGGACAAGTGGGAGATTAAAAGGAATGGTGTCCTTCCAACAAGTGTATTATTCCGATAGAGGGTTCGGAATTATTAGAAAGCTAATTATTCAGAGAGGTCAAGTGATCGGAATGCCTAGGTGGAGGCCGCTTTCGATCAGTAATATTAATGTATAATTAATATTATAACTTAATCTTGAATGAACCCTTCGGGTCACACCCCAATTGAGTAACCAATCCGAGGCGACGAATCAATCCGAAGGATTAGATGAGTCATTAGAGTATTACGTACAAAGACGTCGGATATCGAGCTTAGAGCGTCAAAATCGAGTGTCGTAAGTCGAGTCGAATTTAGAATTCGATGAGACGAGAAATCAAGTAAACGACAAGTTCAAGCTAAGCTGTAGCTTTGCATTGTCCTAGCTATGCGAAGGCTAGGCTATCATAGGGCACCAACCGCATCACATGGCTATGCTGCAAGCCAATCACACGTGTGCGTGCTAGGCTTGCTGCTGAGCATGCTTGCGGGGCTGGTGCACTTGGCCGCAAGCATGCTAGCAGCTGGCGTTCATGCGTGCTAGTGTGTTGGGCCTCGCACTCAGCCACAAGCAACGCAGCAGCTAGGCTGCGCCTAGCACGAGCATCGCATCAGCAGCAGCAGCACCCTATGCGTGCTTGTGCTATGGGCTATGCGTGCTTGCGTGCTGGGTAGCCTCTAGCACAAGCGTAAGCAACACAGAAGCAGCATCAGCCCGCATGGCTTGTTGGCTGTGCGTAGGCTTGTGCGTGCTGGCTGGCAGGCCCAGCCATTATGCTAGGCAGCCTAGGCATGCTGCCAGCCAGCATGTGCGTGGCCAGCTCATGCATGGTGGGCACCCAATTTTTGGTTTATCGTTGGGGAGCAAGGGGAGTTTGGTTTCTGTTGATTCACTTGCATTTTCAATTTGATTTTTAAATTAAAATAAATTGAATAAAGTGCATTTTCACCAATTCTCCCTCATTGATGGGAGATTGGAATTCAAGGCACCCTTCCCTATAAATACCCATCATTTGGGATTGGGAAGGGACACTTGTGTTGTGAATTTTAAGGGATCTCCAAGAAGAGAATACCTTAATTCTAATACTCTAAGTTTTCTTGGTCTAGCCCTGACTAACCTTCGGGGTAAGGACTGTTCGGGTCAGGTTTCGAGGGTGAGAGCCGTTGGAGGCTTATGCATTTGCGGAGCTAACGCTTTCAAGTACAAGCTCCTAGAAAGAGCAAGGCACGCGTCAAGGGTAAGATCATTTCTTCTTCTTTTTCTCTCCTTGTTAATTAATTATGTGATTGTTAATTAATTAATATGCATGTTTAGTTACATTCATTTATGTGCGGATTTTGGGAGGGTTTCATTCCGCATAGTGTCAGACACTACGAAACCCAATAGATTCCACCCAAAATTCACTATTTTTGAGTCGATATCGGGGTTTGAAGGCCAAAATTAGCATAAATACGATTTTAATTTAATTAAAACGAGGTCCTAATCTAATTAGGATGCTGAACCTGAAATTTAAATCCATTTAAATCACCTTGATTAAATTTTAGTTGTAAAAATTAAATGCAAGAGGCTTTTATACCGCTATTGGGTTTTGCGGTATCCGACACTACGCGGAAACAAAACCCGAAAATCGGATCGCACGCATAATAATTACAACATAAACAAAAGCTTGCAAATAAACAAAACACGAACACATAAAGAGAAGAGAGTGAAAGAAACTCACCCTAGACGCGTGCTTCGCTCACTTAATGAGCTCGAACTTGAAAGTTTCAAGCTCTGCAAGTGCGAAACCTTCGACAGCTCACACCCTCGCTCACCGAGCCGGAACCGACCCTTACCCCATGAGTATTCCCAATACCCAAGGTGGGTATTTATAGAAAAATACTCCTTAGAGTCTCCATCAACTTTCCATGTGGGAGAGTTGGTGAAATGCCAAAACGAATGAATTAATTTAATTCCAAATTAAATGGCATAAGTAATAAGAAAATGACAAGTGGTAATGCATGGGAGAGGCTAAGTAAGGACCACAACCCCTCCCGTTAGAGAGCAAGCAAAAGCCAACTCACCTTGGTCAACAAAGGGATGACCGACCACATGCCTTCGGCCTCAAGGTTAGCCTAGCTGGCGGCCTTGCCCTTGGTTGGGCCTGCTAGCATGCCGCAAGCCCACGAGAGCTAGCGGGCTGCTGCTAGGCCTTCTCGCGTGCTTGCAGGCTGGTGCTAGCGCTGCTAGCATCGGCTTGCTCGCATGCTTATGGGCTGATGCTAACGCTGCTAGCTCGCCCAGCAAAGGAACGCGCGCACGGCCCCTCGCTCTTAGCTTGCTAGCTCGGCTAGCATGCCCGGCCAGCGCACATGCGTGGCTACTAGGCCTGCTATCGAGGCTAGTCTATGGCTAGCAGTCATGCTAGCTAGTGCGGCCTAGTCCTCGGTTGGCTCGGCCAATCCGAGGCTAGGTCTGATGACTTGTCATTTGACTTATTTTCTCGTCTCGTCGATTCCTTGAAACGACTCGACGTTGGACGCTCTAAACTTGGAATCCGACGTCTTAGTTCATAAAATCTTTATCGACTTATTTAATCATTTGGATTAATTTGTCACCTTGGTTCGGTTACACGATTGGGTGTGATCCGAAGGGTTTTGTCCAGAGCAAGCTGTAATATTAATTATACATTAATATTACTGATCGGAAGTGGCCTCCATCTAGGCATTCCGATCACTTGACCTCACTGAATAATTAGCTTTCCTAATTAATTCCGAACCCTCTATCGGAATAATACACTTGTTCGAAGGACCCCATTCCTTTCAGCTCCAAAGTCGTCCGAACTCGTGTTAGTACAAAAATTCATTGACAATTGTCATGAAAAGTACAACAAACATTTACGTTACCTTGGTTTAGATACTTTCCAAAAGGTCTATTCTGTGGCCACTAGTATTGAAGATGATCATGCAAAAGAAAAAGCAAACAAGCATCATCATTAACCTAAGAACAACTACAAGAAGGGGAATGATAATACTTTGTATTCTATTGATGTTTTTGCAACTT